TCCCCTCAAACCCCCCCCTCTCCCTCTCTCTCTCTCTCTCTCTCTCTCTCTCTCTCTCTCTCTCTCTGTCAGTCACAGAGAAGTACCATCAATTTCCCAGTCAGTGGCACTTTCGTTCTAAAAGAGCACTCGGAAAGCCATTAACGTAATCTGCCTACCTCTCGGCACCGGAGCGCAAGCGGTTTATGCAATAATCCTATTAAACAGCGAGCAAGCCAGTGAAAGTGGTCAGTGCTGTGTTCCAGGCGAGCAAATCCCAGCCGGTCGCTTTGCACTGTGGACTTAGTTGAAATTGACAAGGGGTCGCTGGTCATGGGCGTAGCAAGAGGGGCAATTTATTTGGAAATATTGTTTTTTTTCCTTTCTTTTTTGTTTATTTCTTCTTTTTTGTGGTTTTTCTATTGTTGGGTTTTTTGTTTTTTGTTGGGTTGTTGTTTTTTATGTGGCTTACGGCGCTCGCAAGTGCGTAAGGCCGTATGAACGCCCGGGACACATTCATATAAACATTTTCAGTTTGGTAGGAATTAATTTTGAATTTTGTCCGGGTGGTGGCCGAGCCTACTCTAATCGATTTTAAGACTACCGATGGATCTTTAACGTGCGAAAATTGCACATAGGACGGAAGAACATGGTTAAAGAGCAGGAAAGAAAAGGGGGTGAAAGGAGAAGATATTAAGGTATCAAACCCGAGACATAGTATTTAATGAGAGGCAAAAACCATACCTCTAAACCGCGAGAGCAACTTGGAAAGAATTGAGAAAGAATTTCACGAGCTCTCTATTGTTGGCTCCCAGATTAATTCTGCATTAGGAACAAAAATCTATTTATGTAAGGTAGAAGTGTTGTTGTTTTTTAAAACTACATCTAAAGCATGGAAAATGAACAGGCTTTAAGATAATACCATACTTGTATCTCAATATTATGCTGCAAAACTGAAGAGCGCCTGATTCTACCTGGTCGTGACAAAAAATCAAAAAAAAAAAAATCTACCTACGTGATTTATGAGTCTCCGCCCCTGACCACGAGCAGAGTGCGCCGAAGGACGTCCGATGAGCGGCGTGTTTCGAGTACATTGTGTATTATCATTGGCTCCCCTCGCACCACGGATCGCTTCACAAACGATATCCCATTCCATTTGTGAGCCCGGGGTAGGTAGGCTGGGGTAGCCTGACCGGGGCCTCTCACAGGTGTGACTAGAAGTGGCTTAAAATCTCTTCACAGAGGGGCTAAAGACGCTATCTTAGAATAATAATTTTTATCTGCTCAGTAGGCCTACCTAGTTTTGAGAAAATTGACTTAAAAAGGTTAATGTGAGTTTCACAACATGTCAAGCTTTTTCGAATGCAATTCTTTGAACATCTAGGTGACGACTCCGAATAATCTTACGATTTTGAAAGAGCAAATAGAACATTTGGTTCCTGACCCCGTGGTCTCAGTAACTCGAAGTGGCCCAAACTGTCAGATAAGGGTATATAGGGGCAGCCTGACCAGGTCTCTCAAAGGACTGTGTGGAAGTGGCTTTAACTCTTACAGGACAAAGTGGACATAAAGTAAGAGTGTGTCCGATCAGCAGCAGAGCAAAGATAATGCTTCGGCATATTTCAATACATCATACACAAATCAGAAATACTTACTTTACTTTTACGTTTTACTTTTTCCTTCCTCTGGTATCCTTAGGATATCGAGGGGAGGTGCAAGTTTCGGTACTGTGCTTGGCGTGTAGCGTCTGTGATAGATATGTTATGTTGTTTCAGGACCTTTTTAACCCCATCCAGTCAGGTCTTCCTTTAATCAGAAACACTCGTTTGCATGTTCCATAGTATGCAAGTTGTTGCATGCCCTTTCAGACAAAGAAAACAAAATCATAGGAACATCTATTTGAATAATGAAGTTATGTCTCTAAACAGCTTGTCTTTATGCGTTGTCAGATGACTAGAATGTGTGTCCTCATTGTGCAAGGTCTTAAATCTTTCCATAGAGGACAAACGTGTCTCGACGCGGTGGAATCTGGCGGGTTCATTATTTTATTTTTTTGGGCGGTTGATTTTTTGAGCATACGGACTTATCATAATCCTAAAGTTACAAGTTCGATTTTTTGCTTTTGATGAAAGCCC